GACCTGCCTGGAGTCTTATATCACCTAATATGAAGACAGCACAGACTGTCAGTACATGAACTTTATAAACCGACTATTAAAATGACTCAGTACAAATACAACATGATCATCATGATCCACAAACCGTCTGTGATCCTCTCACACTCGCTGCTCCGTCTGTAGACACTGAAATCAGGTGGTTCCTGTTTATTCCTTTGTCATTTAGGCTCCGTTTACATGGACACGGGGATTTTTTAAAACGGAGACATTTCCCTTCGTTTGTTCACGTTGTTTACACACAAACGGAGAATTCACCTCTGAAAACGAATCTTTCTAAAAACTCCGGCGGGTGGAGATTCTGGAAAACCCAGTTTCACTTTGTGTAAACTGAGATAAACAGAGTTTTAGGACCGACCACGAAAGTGCCACGTTTACCTGTTGCTATGACGACGATGATGGAAGCATCAGGCAGCAGTCGCATTTCTTCTGATCGTGCAGGAGACTCAGAAACAGCAGCAGAGAACTTGTACATAACATCAGCCCGGAGCAGAAGCTCTGAATCACAGCAGAAACAACAGGCGCAGCTCCTCAGACGGAGCTGAGGTCCAGTGTTGGTCAGATGGTCCAGGGGCCCATGTCCTGGTTCCAGACAGGACGAGTAAGACCAGCACAAAGAACTGGGTCCAAGTGCTTCAGTGCCATCGTCTGTGCGCTGGTTCCGTGTGGGAAAAGCGAGAATGTTCTGTGGACCACAGGTCCGGCTGCTCTGGTCCTTCTGCTCTGGTTCTGAGGTGGAGCAGCGTCCGGACAGAAGCGTGAATCCTGTTTGGTTCTTTATGTTGTTCTGAGCGTCCGTCTGCGCACGTGTTCTTTTTTTTTTTTTTTTTTTTTCAGGGAAAGTTCTTCTCAGGTGGAGGTGGACACCACCCCCACTTCAGCTTCAGCTCATCTGTTTGTTCTGCTGAAACACTTTTCATGTGTTTCATTCACACACAGATTTCAAGAGAACGAGTTTTACCCCGAAAACAAACCAGATTAAAACAACAACAAAAATCATTCCTTTTCCATTTTCACTCATTTTTGAAAAAGCTCCAGGAGCCAGGGAGAGCTAAAGCCACATGGTCCGGAGCCGCAGGTTGCCGACCCCTGGTTTAGTCCAAGCTCAGTTCTGGTTCAGTCCTGGTTTAGTCCTGGATTAGACCTGGTTTAGTCCTGATTTAGTCTTGATTTAGACCTGGTTTAAGATCCCTAAATGAGTTTTGAGTTTCCAGCTTTTCCTCTGAACATTGAAATGAGAGTCTGAACTTTTTAGAATCGCGGCGACACTAATGTAGAAACTCCAAACTCGCCGTGCCTCATTCTGGGGCTGGAAATGAGATGGTTTTTGGGCTCATTTGAGCGTCCGCGGCGGCACTTTGTGAACGGAGGCGTGTAAAGGCAGAGACATAACGCTCCGTCACCGCGCCGACGCTCCGACGCTCACACGCGCTCAGACTCGCCGTAAAAGGAAATGAGCCGTCCACACCGAACACTTGTGGAGTGGTTCCCAAAGTCATTTTAATATCTGTGCTACTGAGAAAAGCAAAGTGCCCCACAAAATGGAACATCAGGAGAAAGAAATAATCTGAACTGAACATTTTCAGCCTTTCAGAAGCGGAAAAGAATCTGAGTTCAAATCATTTAAAGGAGCCAAATTAACTCGACTAAATAAACTGGACTAAATTTCCAAATTGCACTGGGTTTGTTCACTGACGCCTCATCGAGCTTTAAGAAACTCAGGGCAGAACTACAGTCCAAGTCCGAGTCCAAGACTAGTCCTGGTTCAGTCCTGGTTTAGTCTTAGTTTAGTCCTGGTTTAGACCTGGTTTAGTCCTAGTCCAGTCCTCGGTTCAGTCCTGATTCAGTTCTTTGTTTAGACCTGGTTTAGACCTGGTTTAGACCTAGTTTAGTTCTGGTTTGGTCCTAGTTTAGTCCTAGTTCAGTCCTGGTTCAGTTCTTTGTTTAGACCTGGTTTAGACCTTGTTTAGACCTAGTTTAGTTCTGGTTTGGTCCTAGTTCAGTCCTCGGTTCAGTCCTGGTTCAGTTCTTTGTTTAGACCTGGTTTAGACTTAGTTTAGTCCTGGTTTAGACCTGGTTTAATCCTGGTTTAGTCCAACTGTACAGCAACTCGCCCTTATGTAACAGATAATACTCCCTACAATTGTATATTTATGTAACAGATAATACTCCCCTACAACTGTGCAATAACTCGCCCTTATGTAACAGATAATACTCCCTACAATTGTATATTTATGTAACAGATAATACTCCCTACGATTGTATATTTATGTAACAGATAATACTCCCTACGACTGTATATTTATGTAACAGATAATACTCCCTACAATTGTATATTTATGTAACAGATAATACTCCCTACAACTGTATATTTATGTAACAGATAATACTCCCTACGACTGTATATTTATGTAACAGATAATACTCCCTACAATTGTATATTTATGTAACAGATAATACTCCCTACAACTGTACACAATACACGTTAGAAATAAATAAAAATACATTTAATCGTCGTATGTTTCCTGGGCAACACTGGGACCATCAGACATTAATTAAGGTAAAAATGTTACTTAGTTCTGCTTTAAATGTAAGACTGAAGTTTAATGTCGCACTGTGGAACATTCAAGGCAAAAACATCTCCAGACCTCAGATCTCGTGGAGTGAAACATCTGCACTGCTGGTCGACCGTGATGGTGTCTGAGGGACCTGAGTTCTGTGATGTTCTGCAGGAGGAGAAGGACACGCTGAGCTTCCACGTCTCCTCTGGGGTGGACAGAGGATCTCCGGCCTCAGGAACGTCTGTGAGAGCCCAGGAGAAGACGCCGCGCTCCAGGAGGAAGATCTCATCTCCAGCTCAGGGTAACGCATGGACCTCCACACCTCCACAACTCCAACACACCTTCACAACTCCAACACACCTTCACAGCTCCAACACAACCTCCACAACTCCAACACACCTCCACAGCTCCAACACACCTTCACAGCTCCAACACACCTCCACAACTCCAACACACCTCCACAGCTCCAACACACCTCCACAGCTCCAACACACCTCCACAGCTCCAACACACCTCCACAGCTCCAACACACCTCCACAGCTCCAACACACCTCCACAACTCCAACACAGCTCCATGACTCCAACACACCTCCACAGCTCCAACACACCTCCACATCTCCAACACACCTCCACAGCTCCAACACACCTTCACAACTCCAACACACCTCCACAGCTCCAACACACCTCCACATCTCCAACACACCTTCACAGCTCCAACACACCTCCACAGCTCCAACACACCTCCACATCTCCAACACACCTCCACAGCTCCAACACACCTTCACAGCTCCAACACACCTCCACAGCTCCAACACACCTCCACAGCTCCAACACACACCTCCACAGCTCCAACACACCTCCACAACTCCAACACACCTCCACAGCTCCAACACACCTCCACAGCTCCAACACAGCTCCATGACTCCAACACACCTTCACACTCCAACACACCTCCACAACTCCAACACAGCTCCACAGCTCCAACACACCTCCACAACTCCAACACAGCTCCATGACTCCAACACACCTTCACAGCTCCAACACACCTCCACAGCTCCACACACCTCCACACAGCTCCACAGCTCCAACACACCTCCACAACTCCAACACAACTCCATGACTCCAACACACCTCCACAGCTCCAACACACCTCCACAGCTCCAACACACCTCCACAACTCCAACACACCTCCACAACTCCAACACAGCTCCATGACTCCAACACACCTTCACAGCTCCAACACACCTCCACACTCCACACACTCCACAACTCCAACACAGCTCCATGACTCCAACACACCTCCACAGCTCCACACACCTTCACAACTCCAACACACCTCCACAACTCCAACACACCTCCACAACTCCAACACAACTCCACAACTCCAACACACCTCCACAACTCCAACACAACTCCACAGCTCCAACACACCTCCACAACTCCAACACACCTCCACAACTCCAACACAACTCCATGACTCCAACACACCTTCACAGCTCCAACACACCTCCACATCTCCAACACACCTCCACAGCTCCAACACACCTCCACAACTCCAACACAACTCCATGACTCCAACACAACTCCATGACTCCAACACACCTTCACAGCTCCAACACACCTTCACAGCTCCAACACACCTTCACAGCTCCAACACACCTTCACAACTCCAACACACCTCCACAGCTCCAACACACCTTCACAGCTCCAACACACCTTCACAACTCCAACACACCTTCACAACTCCAACACACCTTCACAACTCCAACACACCTTCACAGCTCCAACACACCTCCACAACTCCAACACACCTTCCACAACTCCAACACACCTCCACAACTCCAACACACCTCCACAACTCCAACACACCTTCACAGCTCCAACACACCTCCACAGCTCCAACACACCTTCACAGCTCCAACACACCTCCACAGCTCCAACACACCTTCACACTCCAACACACCTCACACAACTCCAACACACCTCCACAGCTCCAACACACCTCCACAGCTCCAACACACCTTCACAGCTCCACACCTTCTCCACACCTTCTCCACAGTTCCACACCTCCTTTTTTATGGTTCGATTGCTGATTCTGAAAAAAATCCACCGTTTCTCCGTCCTTTGTGTTGTTTTTTCTCCTTTCACTTACAGACAGTGTTGGGAAGTTTACTTTTAAAATGTAATCCCCTACAGATTACAGATTACATACACCAAAATGTAGTTTGTAACAGAATCCATTAAATGACTTAAAGTGAGTAATGTAATCTGATTACTTTGGATTATTTGATTTGTTGTAGAGAAACAAAGACGAGGAAATCTTCACATAAGAAGTTTTGTCTGATAAAAGAAAATAAAAAGTCCAGATTTTACTGAACCAAATTAAAAATATTATTGATAGAAGAAGAAACACGTCCACACAACAGGATTTAGACCTGTTAAGACCTGGTTTTAGTCCTGTTTTAGTCCTGTTTTAGTCCTGGTTTAAGTCCTGGTTTAGTCCTGTTTTAGTCCTGGTTTAGTCCTGGTTTAGATCTAGTTTAGACCTGGTTTAGTCCTGTTTTAGACCTATTTTAGACCTGGTTTAGATCTAGTTTAGACCTGTTTTAGATCTGGTTTAGTCCTGTTTTAGACCTATTTTAGACCTGGTTTAGATCTAGTTTAGACCTGTTTTAGATCTGGTTTAGACCTGGTTTTAGTCCTGTTTTAGACCTGTTTTGGACCTGGTTTAGACCTGGTTTAGATCTAGTTTAGACCTGGTTTTAGATCTGGTTTAGACCTGGTTTTAGTCCTGTTTTAGATCTGGTTTAGATCTCATTTAGTCCTGGTTTAGTTCTGTTTTAGTCCTGGTTTAGTCCTGGTTTAGACCTGGTTTAGACCTGGTTTAGATCTAGTTTAGACCTGTTTTAGACCTGGTTTTAGTTCTGGTTTAGATCTCATTTAGTCCTGGTTTAGTTCTGTTTTAGTCCTGGTTTAGTCCTGTTTTAGACCTGTTTTAGACCTGTTTTAGACCTGGTTTAGACCTGGTTTAGATCTAGTTTAGACCTGGTTTAGATCTAGTTTAGACCTGGTTTAGATCTAGTTTTGACCTGGTTTTAGTTCTGGTTTAGATCTCATTTAGTCCAGGTTTAGTTCTGTTTTAGTCCTGGTTTAGTCCTGGTTTAGACCTGGTTTAGATCTAGTTTAGACCTGGTTTTAGTCCTGGTTTAGTCCTGGTTTAGACCTGGTTTAGATCTAGTTTAGACCTGGTTTAGATCTAGTTTAGTCCTGGTTTTGTTCTGTTTTAGTCCTGGTTTAGTCCTGGTTTAGTCCTGGTTTAGACCTGGTTTAGATCTAGTTTAGACCTGGTTTTAGTTCTGGTTTAGATCTCATTTAGTCCAGGTTTAGTCCTGTTTTAGTTTCCAGCAATGAGTGGAATTACCAAAAATGATGCAGCCCAAACTGCAAAAATGTGAAAACAGTAAAATCCCTCTGTGTGTAATCCATTTATTTCAACAAAGTAACTGTAATCCAATTACCACTCACTGAAACAGTAACTGTAACTGAATACAGTTACTCATCATTTGTACTCTGATTACTCTGGTACATGTAATCTGTTACTCCCCAACACTGGTCTTACATGTAAACACGAGCAGAGCGTGGTTCTCTCTGATTGGTGGATCTGCCTGTCAATCACGCCCTCTCAGATCACCTGGTTCTGTCTGGTTCTGTCTGGTTCTGTCGGGTCGGTGAGGTTGGACCGAGCGTGGGATCCATCCTGGTACGGGTCATGAGCTCCTCGTCACGCTCTTCGTCTCGGTCAACCTCGTCCTCGCCGCTCGTGGAGACCTCCTGACCCCGAGATGATCCTCACGCACCTGAGACCTGAGACCTGTGACCTGTGACCCGGTGCGGCGGCTCGGGTCACGTGCGCTGCTGTGGCGTGTGCAGAGGAGAGCGGCGGGTCATACGTGTTTGATCCGGTTTTACATGGCGTGTTCTGCTCTGACCGAAGACATGAAGAGATGAAGAGATGAAGAGAAGTGTCCGTTCTTCTCTCTCCCAGGGCCTTTTCATCTCAGAACTTCTGACGTTTCTCGAACCGGAAACGTCTCAAGCGTCTCATTCTTTCATGTGAACGTCGGCGAGGGTTGGTTTTTTTTTCTGTTTCTGAAGCACATTTTGAAATCGAAGTCGACCAAACGTGAACCACAGAGGAACACGACGTCTCTCCAGTTGTAAAGTGAAGGAGTCAGCGCTGAAAAAAATTAAACTTAATTAAAAAAAAGACCTTCACTAGTTAATTTCTGCTCTGGAATTGCCCAATCTCGAGGTAAATAGGACCCGTTAACTTGAAAAACGACCACTTCATGACATCACAAGGTGGAACAGAACATTTTGAGGTTTGGAGATGTTAGAGTTACTCAAACACGTGGAAATGTTATTACTTTGTCTAGAATGTTCCACAGCGTCTGTCAGGAAAGACACAAGCCGACTGCACAGACAAATGAAGTCAATAAACGACGGTAAACCATGAATAAAAACAATAAATAAAAAATGTTAAAATGCATAAAGTTAAAAATAATTTTAAAAATTAAATTAAAAAAATACGTTTATAAATGAATAAAAGACACAGAGGAGCACAGACTCATTCTGCTTTTGAATATTGTCATGAACCAAAACACAAAGAAATGAGAAATGTTCAGTGTTTGGTTGATCCAGTGTGTGTTGTTTGTGTGTTGTTTGTGTGTTGTGTGTGTGTTGTGTGTGTGTGTGTGTGTGTTGTTTGTGTGTGTTGTTTGTGTGTTGTGTTTGTGTGTTGTTTGTGTGTTGTGTGTGTGTTGTTTGTGTGTTGTTTGTGTGTGTTGTTTGTGTGTTGTGTGTGTGTTGTTTGTGTGTTGTTTGAAGTGTGTGTTGTTTGTGT